ATATATATATATATGTATGTATATATAAATTTAAAGAAATTATTATATAACTTTAATAATGCATAATTTCTCTATATGTATTATTTATCGATTCTTCATCCAACAAAGTATATTTCTCTATTTATTTGCACCTAACTCCATGGATGACTTACTCTCCCATGAAATCAAATGTGATTCTCCCCATGTTGTAGAAATCATAGCCCTTTCGAAACATATGTTTCTCAACACATTTTAACATTTGAATTAGCTAGATCAAAAATTAAATGAAGATCGGAGTTCAAACTATCACAAAGTATTAACATTTAAAGCCATTGAAAACAAAATTACCTCTTCACAAAACCATACTTCAAAGTAGGGAGAATGATAAATAAAAAAACTCAATATTCATGAGAAAAATAAGAAAAAACATGAATTTCATATATAAAAACAAGTTTACAAAATAAAAGAAATAAAAAACACAAGTTATCTCACAATCATTCCCAAACAAATCCCTAAAATTTTCTTCAATCCTTTTTCTTCAGGCCTTTCTCTCTTTATAAGCACTCTAAATTCTCTCTTAAAAGTGTAATGAAGAAGAAATCTCTCACCATCCCTCTTCTCTTACAACCCTAGAAGAAAATCCCTAGAAGAAAATCTCCGAAAATCTCCAAGCCCTTTACTTTTTCTCTCTATCTCTTCCTCTTGTCTTCACGCCACCCCCTTACAAGTTAAACACCAACTCGTTGAAGTTTCCTTCTTTTATTTTAGGTTGCCTCCTTACAAAAGGAATTCAAAAGGCCCTCCTAAATTCCCTCTAAAAGTTAACTCTTTTAAATTCATAAGATGTTTCATTTGATCCAAGACACACATACCTTCATAAAAGAACCTTTCAAAGTGTCTAGATGCATTGAATAACTCTAAAAGGTGTTTAGAACAAGTGTCCCTTCGAAATTTTGTGCAAAATTTGTCTCGGATCACCTTAATTTGCAAAAAGCCATCTTTGGCGCATCTGGCATCAGATCTGACACATCATGCACTAAGGCTCTATCAAATGGCGCAGCGTGCACCAATTTGGCATATCATGCGCTAGATTCCCAAAATTCGCTGTTTTGGCTCTCAATTTTATGCTTTTTTCTACTTTTGCTCTAAAAGCCTAAAAATGATATACCTGCAAAAAAAAAAACACAAAAATACTCTTCTTTAAATTGCAATATCACCAAAAATAGGTACAAAATATATACTTAAAACAACATATTATTTTGGTTTATCAAAATCCCCCAAACTTAAATGTTACTTGTCCTCAAGTGACACTTTTATTATAGAAATACATATGACTTAGGATAGAGTTCAACTCATAACTTCTATACTTTAGTTTAATAAATAAATTAACAAAATTTAAGAAAAACCTTTAATAACTTAGATTCAAATTCTAAGTCTAAGAGTACTTAGTAATCAATTTTAAGTTTTTTATTCTTTTCAAGAAGAATTGCAATTTGTCATATTAAGGATATTTACAACTTTCATATGAAAAAGAACTTTATAAAAAAATTACTCGTAATACTAGTAATACTCGAATACAAGTTTAGAAAATGTAATAAAGCTCCTTTCTTAAGTCGATTAAGTGCAGCCAATTTTTTATTATGCATTTCCTCAAGCTTCTCCTCAATTTATTTTTTGTTTTTTTTATTTTTTTCTATTTTTTTTTTCTTTTAGGATCTTTTCAATCCTTTCTTTTCTTTCTCTTCTTTTCAAGCGAGGATTACTATATCTGGATAGCTTTTAATAGTTTTGAATTTCACTATCCTCTTTTAAAGTTAAAACTCCTTACCTTTCTTCACTTAATAAATTTATATCAGTATATGATTTTTCATGAAGTCTCATTCTTTTCTTCTTACTTGAAACTCTAAAATTCTTAATACTTCAAAAATACAATTTCCTTTACTTGGAATAAGAAAATATAGTATTATCCTATCATACCAAATATCTTTAACTTTAGAACTGACTTTCATTATTAAAAACTTTTTACCTAAATTTACCATATTATTTATAAACAGAAGTATAGTCATTTGAGGTTTAATCTCAATATCCCAGGTCATGTTAAATTATATTTAAAAATATAGTTAACTGGAAAAAAAAATAAAATTTTGCTTACTTCTTTTCGAATGAAAATTTTCTTCCTTTCAAACTTAGTTTTTTAGCAATTTTAAAAATATTTTAGTACAAAATTTAGTACGTGAAAGATAGTAAATGCATGAAAATAAAAACTGACCTCTAGAGGATTTCTGATTATAAAATTGGGCTCTTGTATACTATAGATACTAACTTGAAAAACATACATACAGGCTTTAAAGCATTAAATGAAATACATGCATTAAAGAATTAAATGAGATATAATATATTCTAAAGAATTTACTGAGAAATAAAGCTAGAAATACAAAAATTGAAAAACAAAAACTGAAAAATACTAAAAATGCATGAAAGATAAAAATCTACAGTTACTACCACAACACAAAATAAAATTCCTTACTACAACAATCATAAATGAAAGTACAACACATCTCAATCACAAGTAACAAACAAACATCAAAACATATTAAACTAAATTCATAAAAATATCACTCTTCATCACCTTCCTCATTATCATCATCGTCTTCATCATGAATAGGAGCATAGGGAGTGAAACAAGGGCAAGGAAGAAATTCCACATTGGGTTCACCCTTAAGATGTCTTACCATAGCATTTTAAAAATCAATATCATGATGAACTCTCCTCTATTGATATTTATCATTATATAAATTTCTTGCTCAAATCTCTCCAATCTGACTCTGATTATTCATTATGTCCATTTGTTGAATCATGAGCTGCTCCATAATATTTTCAAGTGATGCAGAGTGGGAAGTAGATTCTCCTGCAGCTGATGTAGAGGGTCTATCCCTTCTACCACCTCAAGATTCAACAAATGATTCATCTCTTTGAATCATATGCTTTCCAATAGAATTTTGTGGTTGTAATCGTTCTTCATTTCTGTGGGACTCTACTCTTGATTGCTCACATAAAGTAAAAATCAGGGCAGGATATCCCAAACCACTAGCTCTAGAGCACTTAGCTATACTTCAAGCATGATGAACTATGACTGTACTAACATTCATTGCTTTTATGTTCTAAATACAATAGTTCAATACAATTCTATCATTCGTTACATCAGCAAGATGATTTGTTGGTAATAACTTAACAGAAATGAAGTGATGCAGTACCTTTGACTAACCAGTCAATAAGGAAGCGAAGAAGTTAACTATTTTGTTATTCTTAATCTTCCATTCTCCTTTTCCATCAATCAAAAAAGTAATCACTTCATCCAGTGACGAATCAGTCATCAAGAATGCAGCGTAATCATCATGATATACATTCCTTAGCCCATAACAAATATTGATCCGATCAGCAGTAAATTCAACTTGGTTACCTCTAACCAGTATGTGATCATCCTCAGTGAACCTCAGTTTAGCATAGAAGTCCCATATCATGGGCATAATTGCTACTGCAGTGAAGTAATAGAATCTTTCCCAGCTTCTAGCGAGGATCATCCTTTCGATCTTGCCACCCGGGTTTAAAAACGCCCTTTCTTGGATCAATCTTCTGGTCATCATTTGAGTATTATAGCTATGTTGGGCCTTGAAGTTAACGAATCTTCGTGCATCAAAATCCTCGGATGGCTTTCCTCTTTTCACTCGGGGAGCCATTTTAAAATCTATGAAAGTCTAAATAACCAAATAAATCACTAAATCAAAAATCTAACTCCCGAAATAAGATTATTTATTAAGAAACTTTTCACCATGAATTTTCTTCAAGATTTTTCATAAAAAAATCCCAAATTTTGGATCTTCCACAATGTAGGAAAAATCCATGGTGAAAAAAAAATTTTCTAAGTTAAAGTGAAGCACTTAGCAAGAGAAGATGAAATTTATGATATTTTGCCTCTAAAATCTTCTCTACCACTCTCAATGTAAAGCCCTAGGTTAAGGTTTTGAGGTAGGAGACGACCCAAGCAATGAAAATGAAGCTTTTTCGTGCAATTTTTCTATTTCTAAGGCAATTAGGTGTGTTCGGGTTTTACGTACATCAAGCACCAACTCTCTATAAAACGACACATCATGCGCCATTCCAGTGAATCATGCTCCAACGCCTTAATCTTTCCAGATTTCAGTTTTTGTGAAAATCTGCTTCGTACCACTTTACATCTACCTCTAATTAACTCAAATGAACCCTTATAAGCATGATTAAACATTACTCTAACATCCATTTTTCACAAAAAACACAAAACTTACTTTTATATATAAAATCCTTGCTTTTACGAACTAACTTTTATCAAGCCAACAAACATCTAATTCAATGTTTAAAGCAAACAAGACATCTTAACATTGAAATCTAACCATCAAAATTTTCAAACATGAACATTGATATAGTTCAGCAATAAAAGTAAATGCAATCCAACACAACAAACAACTAAAACAAACATTACTAAACAAAATGTTACATGCATAAGCTAAGTTCAAACATTTTCTTCACTCCTATCCTCTTGGATATCTCCCATAGATTGGTAGTGCCCAAACATGTCGGTTAGAAAACCTATCAGTCGAATCCTCCCCAATCTAAGCATGTTTCTGGAACATATGTACCAAACCATCTTCAATACGACCAGTATGCTCAAAATGTTCTTTAAGTCTTCAATCCAAGTGACCTAATATTTCAAAAATATTTCCTATTGCATGCATAAGATTCTACAGCTCTTTTTATATCTTATTTTTCCTCTTCAAAAGTGCTTTAGAACTGAA